GGAATGAATGATTTCAGTAGCAACTGCGTAAGTTGTTCCAAATTATCAGAAATGTTCTCAAATGCCAATCAATTTACAGAAATGACGAACGTCAGGTCTATGTCGAAACAACAAAATATCTTTAGAGTTGAAAGAAGACAAACTGCATGGGGATGTTTTCTATGCTTTCGTTCATTCTACAGAGATGACCGACTACGCCTAGATCATGCTAATTAGTAGTAAAAAAGCACGAAACAGCTATACATGGTTGACTGTCTTTGTCTTTAGAGTGACTGACTTGGAATTTAATAATATACTTGTTTATTTGATTAATGAGGTATAACGCCACCGATTTCGCTTTATTTGTTCTTTGCCGGATCCTGGAGGTTTTGGCGGTACTATCTGGGACTCCGCTGCTGGTGAGGTCTTCGTATGTGTTGTAAGCTGAGTCTGGTATTGGGGTCTGAATGCTCCTTCCATAGCTGAAGGTATGTCTGTGGCTGGACCCCTTGGAGCTGATATCGTTTGTGACAGCAACGTAGTCTGGTGCAGAGGAATATGAGTGTCCTGATCCTGGAGACTTGCCTTTAAACCAACATTTGGATTCTGGCCTTTCTTCTTATCCCAAAAGAGTCTTCAAAGGAATGTAAAATAGCGCCGTTGTTGAGAATCTCATTTACGTTCACAAGTACGCTTGCATGCACTCCGAACAACAGTTGGCAAGCATGGTATTCAAAATAATTGATTACTAAACAGCTATTGCCCAACATTTCTCATATTTTTTCCCGACGTGTCTTGAACGTGCAAATGCTTTTTTATTGGTCGTAATAACACCCGATAATGGAAAATATAATTTCGTGTCTACGTTAATCAAAACAACGTTTGCATAACGTATAATTAACAATTATCACATCAATCTTAAGTGGATTGGATGGAAAATGTGATAGTAAACATTTTAACCGGTGTTTTTCACATACTTGTTAGACAGTTTTTTGTTGTTCAACATACCTAGAGTCCGAACAGTATATTGGAGCGATATTGACAGTAAAATACTGATTCGACTTACATTAATTGTTTCAGTATGATCAAAATTCTGTATCTATAATCGAGATATCAGCATTTTTAAAATACATACAGGGTGGCGCATCGGAAACGAAACAGACGCATTTACTGGCAGCTCAGTTTTTTTTGGAAAAACGCTCAGACCCGTCGATTTTGTTTTCGAGGGGGACACAAGTTTGGTAAAAATCACGTTAACACGTGCAAACCCCTGGACGGGGGTGACATCAACCCTAAAATCTTAAATGAAAAGGGGGGTCGAGTGATACCTTATTTTAAAGGTCTTTCAACTCCCTTTATAATGATGTAAAATACACGAGCTTCAGTTCAGTAGTTTTGAAGAATTATTGATTTAAAGCTTGAAGTAGACTCTAATAAGTACATCAGATTAGTTTGTAATACTTTCAGAAGAAATTTGCCTAAAGGAATTTACTTACTTCACTACGCCCATGGTTTGTTTATCATTTTGTTGTTGAAAATAGCTATTGGAGCACAGCAGAAACAGTTGAAATTATCGAAATATTTTTCGGAAATAATCAGTGCGCTAATAGAACAGCAGAAATATTTATTGAGCGACATGAGAACAGTAACGTGCATCGAAAATATGTTCTACAACTTGTAGCTAAATTTCGGGAAACGTATAAAAAACGCAACATTCTAAATCCCATAAGCAATAGAAGTGGGGGTTTTAGGGCAAGTTTATGTAGATCCTACGTTAAGTACCCGCAAATAGGAGACTCTGTGTGGTGTTAGTCGACGTACTGTCCAACGGATTCTAAAGGCCCATAGTTTTCATCCGTATAAAATTCACCTGGTACAAGAACTTAATGAAGACGATTTTGATCGGCGATTACAATTTTGTGAAGATATGAGTGAACGAATTATAAACGATGAACATTTTCTATTCAACACTTGCTTTTCCGACGAATGTTCCTTTTTCTTAAATGGCGTAGTAACTCGTCATAATTGCCTATATTGGTCCGATTCTAATCCCATAATTTATCATGAGGTTCATACACAGCAGCCACAAAAATTAAATGTTTGGGCTGGTATTTTTGGCGATCATTTAGTTGGTCCTTTTTTCTTTCCTGGAAATTTGACCGGTAAAATGTATTTGTAATTACTGGAAGACGCCATAGATCCTGCATTAACAGCCATAATTGAAAATCAGAATGATGGGCGGCACATTGCGAATAGGTTGATGTTCCAACAGGATGGTGCCCCACCACATTACGCGGTACGTGTTCGACAATATTTAGATCAGACGTTTCCAGATCGATGGATTAGTAGAAGAGGTGCCATTGAATGGCCCCAAGATCGCCAGATTTATCACCTTTGGATTTCTTTATGTGGGGTCATTTAAAAAGCAAAATCTATGATACTCAGCCAACATCATTAGAAGATCTGCGACAAAGAATTGTGAACGAGTGCCTTCAAATTACTCCTCAAATAGTGCAAAATATGCGGCAGCGTTTTGAGCAAAATCTTTATTATTGCATGGAGAGTCATGGTGGCCATTTTCAATATTTTCTTGCTTAACGGGTTCATTCTTCATTTTTAAATTACTTTGCTGCCAAATGATTGATCTCCACTAATGATGATGTATTCATTTTTTTTAAGCTTTAAATCAATAAATCTTCAAAACTACTGAACTGAAGTTCATTGATTTTATATCATTTTACAGGGAATTGAAAGACCTTTAAAATAAGGTATCACTCGACCCCCCTTTCCCCCTAAGCGGGGGTGATGTCACCCCCGCTTAGGGGGCTGCACGTGCTAACGTGATTTTTTGTTTCGTTTTCGATGCGCCACCCTGTATAATACTTGATGCAGTGTGAACTCTTTGACCAGGTAATAATGGCAAGCACAACATTTACGCAAACACAGTTTTTTCCCATTGAATGTTATTGAAACTATTATTTATGATAGACGTAGTTGAAATACTTATTGTAAACCAGGATTGTGCGAGAAAATTCAGGGCAGCGTCCCGAAGGTACACTCGTTACGTAACATTTCAAACTGATCCTGTGTTTTTAAGATGATAATTCCCCATGTTTCTCTGACTGAATCAAACCACATATGTCTAAAACTCCTCTTTGATTTATAACGCTTTGATTCCAATGGTAACCTTTTTCACGTACAATTAGCACTTTTGGCGTTCTCGGGACGATGGGCAAGGGTGATGACGTGGAACCAAGAACAGACACTACTGAGATCAGCTGACAGACTGTGTGATGCATGCTGAAAATCAGACTGAATATATGACAAACGCAAGGGAGTATAATCTGATTACGTGTTCAAGAGCTTTATCTAAATCAGACACATATAATGTAAACAATATCGCACCAAGAATACATCCTTGAGATACACCCTTGGGCATATTCCGCAAAATAGAAGGTGAGTCATTTATCTTGACTGTGTTCTCTCAGAAAGATAATCCGAAAAACCAAATAATGGTAGACGCTGATAAGCTGAAATAATGCAATTTGGCGATGATTAGAATATGATCGCACTATTACTGATGCCACATAGTATGTCTCTAACGAAATCCTTCATTATGACCTCGATGTCCCTTACCTAAAAGACTACATTAAGCAAGAGTCGCAGCGGCGCTATAGCCTAGCGGAATCGCACAGCAACACTCTGTTGCGCAAATCAGTGGACTACACAGACGAGCAAGTACAAAAGGCTGCGGCTCGCATTGTAATCAAAATTAATTCGTGAACTTAGAACAACCAAAATTGGAGCATTTTGACAAAATCTTTAGAGAAAATCAAATATTTCTACACCATATTAAAATCTGTGAAGTTAATTTAACAATGCCTACACGCTGCCTATCCTAAAAGATTATCTTCTTCTTCTTTGCTCTCGTTCTTCCTTCTCTCCTTTCCTTCCCTTTTTTCCTAAAAATTGTCTGGTTTCTGGGTTACCAGACCTTTCAGACTTAACAAACTGACACTGTGACTCAAGAGCTAAGGTCCCACGGACCGCTCTGACAACCAACATGACTTGATCAATTATGATTTATATAATCGAAACTTTTCGAAAGATCCAACATAGCAATAGTAACGAGACCCGCATCCAAGGGTCATATAAGGTAGTAACGATGCCTCTTGGCAGTTACGTCATCAACGCCACATGAAATAAGTAAGCAGATCGAGTCTCTGTACCATGGGCGCAGTCTAATCTTTAGCGCATCTGCTACTCTCTCCAGTACACATGAAGTGGGTACGAGGGATGTCTTTTAAGTTTTGCATATAGAAACATAGTAGGCCGCGCGGATCGAACGTCAGTACTGAATCTTAACCTCACTCTGTAGTAAACTTAAATTCAAAGTTTCACAACAATACGTTCTCACTACAGTGAATTTTTAAGTGTCACCAAGTCGTTAGAAAAATGGAACTCAACCGAGAACATTTTCGCGCCATAATTTATTACAACTTTCAGAAACAATTATCGAAACAAGAATGCCTTGCTGAGTTACTGTCTGTTTTCGACAACGAAGCACCACATCAGTCGACAATTTCCCGTTGGTAAGGACGGGTGAGTCTTAGTAACGATCCCAGGGTGGGTGCACCAAAAACGGCAGTCACCCAGGAAAACGTCAATGCTGTGCGCAAACTCATCATTGAAGATAGACATGTGATATATCGCGAGATTGAGGCGTCCTTGAAGATCTCAAAGACCTCAATTCAAAAAATTTTACATGAAGAATTAGAAGAGTAAGAAAATTAGTTTCTCGTTGGATACCCCTCCTGTTGACTGAAGAGCAGAAAGCAGCCAGGATTAATTAGTGTCAAAAACTGCTTGACCGTTTCAATTCCGGAAACTCAAAAAATGTGTACAGCATTGTTAGTGGTGATGAATCGTGGATTTACTATTATGAACCAGAAAATACACGACAGTCGGCTGTTTGGGTGTTCCAAGGTGAAGAAAAGACAACAAAAGTCATCCCTCTCGAAGCGATATTTGTGTCAAACGCGGGTCATATTGCAATAATTCCTCTTAATGAGCAAAGAACTGTTACTGCGGATTGGTATACCACCATTTGTTTTCCAAAAGTCATCACCGAGCTTCGAAAAATCAACCCCGAAAGAAGAATCATCCTCCACCAACACAATGCAAGCTCGCACACATCAAAAAAACAAGGCAGTATTTAACGAAAGAAAACGTGGAATTCCCCCGATCTAAGTCCCAACGATTTCTTTACTTTCCCGAAAATTAAAAACAGACTGCGTGGTCAAGGGTTCCAGTCACCAGAAGAAGCAGTTGACGCATTCAAAAATGCCGTTTTGGATCTGCCAGCAAACGAGTGGAATAAGTGCTTCGAAAATTGGTTCGAGCGCATGCAGATCTGTATTAATCTCTGTGGAGAATACGTCGAAAAACAATAAAGTCATTTAAAACTACCTACCGTGTTATTTCCATATGCAAATCTTAAAAGACATCCCTCGTAACAGGGGACCGCAGTTTTCATTCTCTTCCCGGAAACACTAATAAATTTAGCATGAGCTGTCGGTCTTCTCCAGTATCTTCAGTGTCTGGGAATTCAGTCGCCATGGAGTGTTCCACTGGGGCGGATCGTGCTTTTTGTGTGCGTGCGTTTTATCAAAGTAATGATTCGGCAACCATTGCGCGGCGTAAATATCGTGAATACCGCAATTTACACAATTTTACAAAGTGTCCAACAGCTCAAACGATTAATAACTGGGTTGCTAAGTTCGAAGAGACTGGTTCGACGTTAGATAAACAGCGGTGGGGTCGCCCAAGGACAACTCGTATTGAAGAAAACATCAACATTGTGGCACAGTCTGTTCGTCAAAATCCTACCCAGTCTACTCGTAAGCGTTCCAGTGCACTAAACGTACCCAGAACATCTTTACAGCGGATTTTAAGGAAAGATTTACGTCTGCACGCTTACAAAATTCAGTTAGTGCAGGAATTAAAAGATAATGATGCTATTCAGAGACTAAACTTTGCGAATGAAATGTTGAATCGATTTTCTTCGCTCAATAATGTGTTGTTCTCGGACGAGGCTCACTTCCATTTAAACGGGCATGTAAATAAACAAAATTGCCGTTATTGGAGCCCCGAAAATCCAAGGCGTAAGCATCAGAAGCCCTTACACAGCCCAAAAGTTACAGTTTGGGCTGCTATGTCAGCGCATGGCATCGTAGGCCCTTATTTTTTTGAGGACGACAGAGGTCGCGCATTAACTGTTACTTCGGAGCGGTATGTAGCAATGATAGAAGAGTTTTTGACACCAGCGTTGCAGAATTTTCCAGGCTATAATACGCAGACCTGGTTTCCACAGGACGGAGCAACTGCCCACACCTCCAACACTTCTATGCCCGTCGTCTGTCAACTTTTTCCCAGCAAAGTAATTTCTCGAAGAGGAGACATTTCCTGGCCACCACGTAGTCCAGATTTGACCCCAATGGACTTCTTTTTATGGGGCTACCTCAAGAGTAAAGTGTACGACACCACTCCGCGATCAGTTGATGTCCTGAAAGAAAATATCCGAAGAGAAACGGCAAGCATTACAGTGTTGACTTGCCGCGCAGTCATCGACAATTTTAGACGTCGTTTATATGAGTGCAGTGATCGTAATGGATTGCATTTAGACGATCTGATTTTCAAAACATAATTCCCATTCAATAAAGATGATAACAAAATATAATAATTCTTCATAATGTAACTAGTTTGGTTTTATTCCTTTTTTTCCAGCTCAAAGGACTTATGGGCCACCCTGTATTACCGGGCGTTGCACAATTTTATATTGAAGATTGATAAAAGGGCAACTCAAAAATTGTACGCCGATGTCAAGTAAGTTGTCACTCTGACAAACGTGATTGAAGGGCATGTATGTATTTGAGCTTAACGAATAAAAAAATTTTTACACACAGGGGTATATTGCAAGTGTATGTATGAGAGAGATGGACGTATGAAAGCAATTCCTGAAGTTTTACTTTGAACCGCCAAAAAACGTGAGGAGAAACATAGCAGATAATATTTCTTGGCGTGGGTAACGATTTGTTTGTTCAAATATAAGCAAAATGTGAACACTAATTGGGCGGTAATCGCCAAAGATTCATTCAAATAGCCTGGGATGTACATTTGTAAATACCCTGTATATTGGAAATGTTATAGGACATGTGTTTAGAGAAATTTGTTGTTGTTGCTATCATTGTTTCTATTATGTGATATCACAACCATTTTTCCAATCACCATGCATGATTAGAGTAAAACCAGAACCAAACCCGATTAAATGTTACACGACGTTGAGCTCCAACAGGGTAAGATTTTCTCTACGTTAACGTTGATCTCAGGAACATTCTTTAGATTCTCGCAAAATTTCATCCATCAACGTGTATCATATAATTATTGAGCAATAAACGAGATAGGAATCTTTGACACGTTCCACAGCTCGGTGAAATCTGCGGCAAGAATCTCTCGATGATGCGAAGATCCATCTGTACCCACTTAGCTTTTGGAAAGTATTTGAGCTGATAACATCTGCTTTGTAGACGTGACTTTGCGACTGCAGATAATTGAAAATTATCTCCACAGAAAAACAATAAAATTGCAACAAACATGAGTATCTATAAAATGAGCTTACGGGTAAGTTGTTAAGATGTGGCAACTGATATTCAAAGAATAAAAATGAAGTCGTATTAAGATATTTTGAAGATTTCCCGATTAGTCTGTATCCTGTATTGGAGGCAGAATGATCAAGTAAGGTCACAGCACTTATGACTCATTAGGAAATTTCCTTTCCTTCGACTACCATTAAGGAAAGGAAGATCGGTACAGCTGCAGGTCCAACTGAGTTACCTATGCAAGTTCTCAGACTAATTGAAGACCTTGACATCTACTACATTGAGGATTTTTTTAACAATATGAATAAATACCCAGAGAGTGACTGTTATCAGCGTTTATAGCTCTTGACAAAAAGTCGAATGCAAAGCGATGTTGTGAATATCGCATCAGTTTGATGTATCACATGTTGAACATATTTTTGGAAATCGGTTACCGAAGAATATATTCAAAGCTAGTGGCTGACAATGAGGAAACGCAGTTCAACTTTAGAAACGGACGGGGAACAAGGGAAGCACTTTTTGCACGTAACTTGCTAACACGACTATGTTTAGATGTAAATCAATATGTATGGTCTCTAGATTATAATAAAGCTTTAGACGCAGTTCAACATAAAATGTTATTACTCAAAGAGCCAAGTACAGACACTACAAAAACAACAATAATGAATAATTTATGCTACGGATAAAATCTTCTAAATAATTGCATGACAGATAAAATAAAATTAAAGGAAATGTCAGACAGGACTGTGTTTATCAAAATATAATAAATACAAATAAATGGGAATCGTGTATGAAAGAGATATGCCGGAGATACCATACTTCTTGTTGAAAAAAGTTTAAGATAATAATAATAGACGTCTTTATTTATCCACAATTACATTGTAGTATAGCCAAATGTCAGACTTATATGGCGAAGTTTAGCATGATGCTACTCTTACTCTTAACCATATAGCCTCTAGCAGATGTTCAAAAGAATACACTATCCACAAACAGATTTGGTTCATTACATCGAAAGTAAAATTTTAAAAAAAGAGAAAAAGGCATACTTTCCAAACCCAAATGCACCAAAAAATTATTAATCTGAATTAAAGATGGAATAAAAAAGAAATGAATGATTACGTAAATTATATGTTTGGAGGGTTGAGTAATAATGCTTTAACTTTTTGTCGAAAGACAGGTAATGAAAATTCTTTATATACTTTAGGAAGGTCATTATAAATAATAGCAACATTGTAAGAAAAACTGCGTTTAAAAAGTGTAGACGTATGCAGGGGTATTCTAATATTATTTTCTCTGACAGTTCTACAGTGAACATCATTATTAAATGAAATTTTTTCCTTCAAGTAATAAGGTTTAGACGTGAGCAGCAATTTGTGAACAAAAACTGAATAGTGATACTTGACCATGTCATTAATTTTTAACCAGTTTAGAACGGGATATTTCGCCGATACATGATCAAATTTACGTAAGCCAAAAATGAATCGTATACAATTGTTTTGAATAACTTGAATAACGTTTTTAGTGAAATTGTCTAAACAAGTATAGTATACGATATTACAATAATTTAGTATAGATATGACCAATGCTTCACATAGTTTTTTACGCATCTTAAAATTTAGTAAATACCTGTTTGCTATAAGAGTACGCAGCCGTAGGTAGGTTTTCTGAGATAGACTTTTAACATGTTCAGTAAACCTTAATTTTGTATCAAAAATAACACCATGAATTTTTGCAGAATCAGAAAATTGCAAGATTTGGTTATTTATCTGAATGTTCAAGAGCTGTGTTACATTGTATGTTTTTCTTTGTGCGCAAAATAATAACATTTTAGATTTTTGTGGATTAATAAGTAGATTTTGATCTAAAGAGTATTTAATTCATTTATTAACATCGTTTTGTAAAATTTGTGTAGTATTATTGACATTATCGGGGTTAAAATAATGAAGCAATTGCGTATCGTCTGCAAATGACTGGACATGAGAATTATCAATACTTTTGCTTAAGTCGAACGTATACATGAGGAACAGAAGCGGTCCCAATACAGAGCCCTGAGGTACGCCTGAGGGAATTATTGTCACTTGAGACATTTCTTGATTGAGAAAAACACACTGAGTTCTTTGATGAAGGTAACTGTCGAAAAATGAAAGGGATACACTGTCAAGACCTATGTAATTTAGTTTCGCAAGTAATAATTTATGATTGATGCTGTCAAAGGCTTGCGAATAGTCTATAGAGATTAAGGCTAGTGCCATTTTCTTATCTAAGGCACTTAAAATATTGTCTTGCAGATTAAGTAGGGCAGATGTTGTACTATAATTTTTTCTAAATCCGGATTGAGTGTCGGGAAGTATAAAGAATTTTTCTAGGTAAGCGGTCAATTGGAACTTTTTTCTAAAATTTCGGATAAAATTGGTAATAAACTGATAGGTCTGAGATCATTATACTCAGTGGGTTTCATTTTTTTAGGAATTGGAATAATTAGAGCTTGTTTCCATGTGTCTGGAAAGTAGCCTTTTTCCAAACAGTCGTTAAAGATGTGGACGATGTGATTGAGAGTAACTGGCAGGCAAAGCTAGATCATTGACCGGGATATACCATCAATTCCCTTCGCATCAGATTTTAGGCTCCCTATTGCCTGTAATACGTCATTTGAACTAATCTTATTCAATGAAAAAATATATTCAGAGCTTAATTTATTTTTGAAATAGTTTTCGCAAACTAGTGAATCAACAGGTTTATACCTATAAACAGACATAAAATAATCATTAATTTTGGTAGGGTCATTAAAACTTGCCGGAAGGGTTGGTTTACTACGA